ACGAGACACGAACGAGTGATATTGCAGCACGACAACGTTCCGTGCCATCGCACTTCCATCGTCCAGGACACCATGAAAACGCCTGAAATGGGATCTGCTACCGCACCCGCTGTATTCTACCAGACCTGGCCCCTTCCAATTATCACTTGTTCCGGTCGATGGCACATGGCTTAGCTGGGCTACACTTGGCCAATTTCGAAGAAGTGCAAAACTGATTGGATAAATGGTTCGATGCAAAGACGCGTCGTTTTATCGTCGCGGTATTCATGTATTGCCAGAGAGATGGCAAAAATGTGTAGCTAGCGAGGGACGATACTTTGAATAAACCGTTTTTTGTATTTCTCTTGAAATTTTCCATTTTGCATTGATAAAAAAAAACCCGGAAACTTAATTGCGCACCTAGTAGATTAAAAGATTTATCATCATATAATTGATTAAAAATTGAAATATAAATATAAAATATAATATATTGCAAGCGTTTTAGAAATCAATTTTATCAGTTAGATTCTAACTGATAAGGTACGAATATATGTGGCTTTATCTGTTATTGGAGATTTTTATTTTTATAAATTGTAATCATTTTAAATTTATTTTTATACACTTATTTTTTTTCGATTGCTAAGCAACTGTAGCTGTTTTAACATACGCTACCACGCTACGCTATTGCTGTTCACGCAGCTCGCATTCGCTAGCGCTATCTTGGCTTCGTGAACCAAGCTAGTAGCGTTAGCGTTGATAGTGCGATAGCGAGCTCCCCGAACGCACCCATAGGGTGCGTTCGGGGAGACGCTATTAGCGCTATTTAGCGCTTTCGACTGTTCACGGAGCTAGCTGGTAGTGCTACCAAACGCAATTATGACGTCATTAATAGTAGTGTGATACGTCATAACTGCGCGCTATCAACGCTATTCCTTCCGAGGTAGTGTGTTGGTAGCGTTAGCGTTTGCGAGCTCCGTGAATAGCAATAGCATAGCGTGGTAGCGCGCTTCTGCTAATAAAAATGGAACAAGATCGTAAAAAAGCAATATTAACAGCAGTAGCACTTATAATGCAAGAATTAATAGATTCATCGTCTGAGAGTGATGATGGTGAAGAATGAAAAATTATAGAATAGAGTATAAATGTAAGAAAACATGTACCATGTCTCAGCATTAAAAATTAAAATATCGGCATTTCTCACATTTTCCGTTGAATTATCAGATGAATGTTTGTAACAAAATTAGGTGTTATTATTTCCAACTAGTTTAATATTGGACAAAAGATTTATAATTGGACTGGATCTTTTGTCCAGCATTTAACGTGTTGAAAATAATAACACCTAATTTTATTACAAATATTCATCTAATAATTCTACGGAAAATGTGAGAAATGCCGATATTTCAATTTTTAATGTTGATACATGGTACATGTTTTCTTACATTCATACTCTATTCTATTATTTTTAAATCTTTACCATCATCACTGTTAGACGATGAATCTATTAATTCTTGTATTATAAGTGCTACTGCTGTTAATATTGCTTTTTTACGATCTTGTTCCATTTTTATTAGCAGACGCACGCTACCACGCTATGCTATTGCTGTTCACGGAGCTCGCATTCATTAGCGCTATCTTGGCTCCGTGAACGGAGTTAGTAGCGTTAGCGTTGATAGCGCGGTAGCGAGCTGCCCGAACGCACCCATAGTGTCGATCTGTGTCTCCTAAATGGAAAGCTCCCTTTACGAATAGTGATCACTTTCCCATTGTGACCACTAACCTCATTAACGTTCAATCTTCAAAAAGATTCTGCCACAAAACAGATAAAAAATCTATCGACTGGCTAACTTTTAAAAAAATTTTTATTTTTCAAGAAGAAGAAATTTCTTCTAGACTTCTAGATTCTAACATCAATCCTTCCGATCATATAGACTATCTCACTTCTCTTTATTGCAGCAATCGAATCTGCAAACAGCCATCCTCTTCGCTTTAATTCTGGCTTTTTTTCAGTTTATCACTCATCTAAAGGACCTCTTCCAGCCTCTTGGTGGAATCATGACTGATATTGCAGCAATAGAAAGAAAATCGGCCTTGTCTGCCTTCAGGAAAGTCTCTTCTTACGCGAATTACTTTCAGCTTAAAAGACAAGAAGCTTTGGCCAAGAAAGTATTTCATAAAGATAGAGATAATCATAGAGGAAGTTTTGTAGTGAGATTGAGTTTAAAACTGCCTCTGGGAAGATTTGGAGAACCATCAAGTGTTTTAAAAACGAATTTAGCCAGAGTTGACAATAATTTCAACACAAAACATAAAATAGACGAACTCAACAGTACTATCCACACTCTTTAGGTTTGTTCTTTACATAACTGAACTGGCTGCACTAGTTTATCTTTTTCTCTCCACATTGGAAGGAGAAATATAAACTCTGAACTAGTGCAGCCAGTTCAGCTATGAAGAACAGACCTATAGTCCAGACTCCTACCCTCCCCCCCCCCCCCTTCATCTCATTCGAGAATTCTCTTTGGATGAGTCTCTACTCTCTCGCCCTATATCCGTCGCCGAGATATCTGATGTCATTGGCAGGCTCAATATTCGATCATCTCCCGGATTAAATGGAATTAGTTATCGTATGATTCAAAATCTCCCTCTATATATGCATAATCTTATTTGTCACTTATTCAATAATATTCTATCTACAGGAAACCTATCCCAATAAATGGAGGAAAACTCTAGTTTACTTAATTTCCAAATCCACTCCTGGCAAATTCTGACCCATCTTGCTAACGCACCTTGTCTGCTTAAAATCTTAGAAAAAATTATTGCTTCCAGACTCCAATGGTTTTGCGAATTTAATAATATTATCTCCAGATCTCAATTTGGCTTTAAGAAAGGTAAATCATGCTACGATAATTTGGCACTACTATCTTCAGAAATTTGCCTTGGACTTGCATATGGCCAATACACTCCTTATCTCTTTTTGGACATTAAAGGAGCTTTTGACAACCTCATTCCTGACATCTTAATCCATACTCTGAGAAACATTGGGATCCCAGAGAAATTATGCAGATTCATTTTTCATCTTATCTCTTTTCACATCCTTTACTTCATTATTAACGGAGAATTATCCCAGCCTTATCACACCTACAAAGGCGTGCCACGTGCCATAAGGATCTGTATTAAGCCCTATTCTATTCAATATATATATTAATGACTTACGCAAACAAATAACTAACAACTGCCGATTATTCCAATTTGCCGACGACACAGCTATCTACATAAGAGGAGAAAAGATCGAAGAAATTCTTCCTAAATTATCCACTTCTGCCTCAAAAATCACTACATATCTAGGAGATATTGGTTTGGAAATTTCCCCTTCCAAGTCGTCACTTGTCATCTTTACCAGAAAAAGGATTGATCCCTTCTCTTATTCTATCGAGACCAATGGAAATCTTATCAATTCAGTCGATCACGCTAAATTCCTTGGTATCTTTTTCGACCATAAATTTACTGGATATCTCCACGCCAACTATCTCCTTTCTAAAGGTACGAAACTCCTAAACATAATTAAAATGTTAAGAGGGGTATGATAGGGCTCTCATCCATCAGCCCTATTAACCATCTATAAAATGGTTATTAGAGCCTCCATCGAGTATGGTTGCTTTATTTTGCTCTCTTATAACCTTGGCCAAAAACTTGAGCATATACAATTTCAAGCTTTAAGACTAGCGCTCGGATATAAAAGCACCACTTCCACTAAGGTCTTACTTGCAGAAGCATGCGAATTGCTTTTACATATCAGATTTTCTTACCTCACTCATAGATATCTTCTAAGAGTCTTCTCGTTGGAAAAACATCCTCTCATTTCAAAACTCGAAAATCTAACTAACGCCACCACTATTAATACGAGGCACAATATTTCCAACACCTTTCTGTTGCTTAAAGTTTTCTCTTCTACACGTGTTTTCAAGAACCTTATCAAATCCAAAATCAGGGCTAGCTACTCGATACCTTTTGAAGCCTTTCTTTGGACTCCTAACACTAGGATCACATTAAGATCTAACTTTGACGAATCCTCTGATTCCAACCAAATGTTTAGAATGCTTTATGGCGAATTAATCAAAGGAAAAGACATTTTTTATACCGATGGATCAAAGAAAGATTCTGGATTGTATGTGGGCCTAGCTGTCTATGCTCCTTCTTTAGATCACTCACCTTTCTACAGAATTACTTCCAAGGCCTCTATTTTCACTGCTGAAAGTATAGCGATTGACGTAGCTATTGACCTCATCCTATCCAATAAATTAAGTAACTCTATCATCTTTACAGATTCTCAAAGTATTGTTCGATCTTTCGCCAATTGTTCTCCGCTGCACTGCAAAAATGAATTGGTTGTTTATCTAAAAAAAAAACTCTATTCAGCTCATCAATTAGGTCTTAATATCGAAATTATTTGGATCCCAGCTCATACAGGAATTCTTGGAAACGAAATAGCTGATCGTCTAGCCAATCTGGCTATCAAACATGGAAATAACCTAAATATTCATATTCCTCACTCTGATTTATACTGTCATTTTCAAGAAAAAGCCTATCATCGATTTTTCTCTTTTCTACAATGATGGAAAAATACAAAAGGCGTTCACTACTTTAAGTTCTACTTCAATAAAACTAGAAAACCTTGGTTCCACCTCTTTCAATCCCTGGATCAAAAGATTATTACTTCCCTAAATCGTATCAGAAGTAACCATTATAATTTAAATGCCTCGTTAGCTAGGTTTAACATTGTCAATTCTCCAAAATGCAATTGTGGTTACCACTCAGAAAATATCGATTATGTTTTATGGAATTGTCCATCTCATAACAACGCAAGAATCGTATTATATAACAATTTACAAAAGCTTAATCTCAATCCACCTTACTTAACCACTTCGCTCCTGAAAAACCTCTTTGCCGGAGTCTTGGATGCCTTTGAATTCTTCCTCAGAATGTCTAACCTCTCCCTTTGAATTTTCCGCTCTATTTCACCGCCCTCACTCCGAATCAGATGACCGCGAGAGGGGAGACCCTTCGGAGCCATATCACATCTTACATAAGGTCTGTTCTTTATAGTTGAACTGGCTGTACTAGTTCAGAGTTTATCTTTTTCCCTCCACATTGGAAAGAGAAAGATAAACTCTGAACTAGTGCAGCCAGTTCAGCTATAAAAAACAGACCTATACTTACTTAACTGAAGGGTAGATCAGGCCAGGTTAAGTTAGGACCCAACTGTTAGATTAGATTTTTTTGAGACAGAGGTGCAGGGGGAAGGGCGGAGCCCATCTGTTGACAAAATATTTATGACCATATAGCTTTGTTTACATGCAACAGATTAATACACAAACGATGTACACAAACTTTACTGCTTGTAATCAGTTTTTAATACCTAAAGTAGAGCTTTAAAATTGTAAAACTTTCATTTGTTTTATCTCCTAAACCAATGTCGTCTCCCACCTAATTTGTGCGGAGAATTACTTAGAATAACTAGAACATATCTAAAGTGCAACAAAATCGGTGCTGTGTAACAAAAAATGCATATTTACCAGTTTTTGAATAATGTATTCATATATTGTGCTTACATTATGTATATACTCTGTCCAGCAAGAGAATACCCATGGTCTGCGGATAGAAGCATAGCGGGCAAAGTGGGGAGAGCCTTGGCATTAGCAAGCTGCACGAGCAGTAGAGTCCTGTGGAGTGATAGTTTTAAGCGCTTCGGGAAAACTTGCGCCGAACGGACGAGTTTTTGTCCGATTCGTGGGTTTTCTCTCGCTGGACAGACTATAGTTTCCTTGTATTTGCATTTACAATATTTTACAGGCACAAGAGCATCCTTGCAAACTACTAATTTAATCATCATCGCTTTCGGTAGAATCTTCTTCCGCCTCTCGCAACCATTTAATGAAAGGCTGAACGGCGTTTCTAACTTTACTATGAAGCACATCCGTGTCTTCATTAGTGGTCTCATACCACTCTAGAATTTTCTCTTCCGACAATATATCGCGATCGTAAAACTGATGCAACAGGTGTTGTGTATATGGCAACAGCTCGTCAGTCGTGTAGGCAACGTCCTCTATAGCACGTAAACAGTCATCCTGCGCGTCTTCGTTTTTAATATAATTCAAAATAATAGTATTGAAATAAGTTATCATAACTTTCAAGTTTTTTTGATAGTTCTGATTGTTAACGGAAGTTTTTGTTTCTGAAAGATAGTGCAGCGGCAAACTGAGGATTGCTTTAATGACGTTGTATGTGACCTCGCGAATGGTGACATTATACGCATATCTCGAAGAGTTTATTTCGAGAATTAGGTTCTCACATTTGAGTTTGTCCTGGTAACCGCGTAACAAACTATCTATAACTTCGGACAGAAACATATTCGTATCGTCCGGGACCGGGGAATCGCGCTCTGAATTCTCTTCGCTACTTGACGACTCGGTAGAACAATCATTGCATTCAGTTACTTCGTTGTTCTTAAAATACAAAAATTCCTCGCTAATCTCGGGATCAGACATTTTTTTAGTCTTAAGTACATTAGATGTAGATTCTACAATGTTATCGATATGTATACTGCGAGATGAAATATCAACTCCAGGATACAATATACATCCGTCTATTTGGCTACCGTATCTGATATGGCAATTCGGAAATAAGATACTATTCCTAATGATGCAATTATCTCTGATTCTAACGTTTGAAAAAATATAAGAATCACGTATCTTAACGTTACTAGCTACTATGCAATCATCACCAATCACAGATCTTGTAACTGTAGTATTATTTCCTAACGTACTGTTGTGTCCAAGAATACAGTCTTTTTCCAATATACAACCTTTAGCAAGAGTTGCAGTTTTGTGTTTATACATGCTTCGTGACATGCATATAAAATTTTTTAAGGAATGGAAAGCATCCGGTGCGAGAGGAAAACTATGCCTGTGTAAAATATCCCGAGTAAGTGTATGGTAAGCTTTCCACGATGTAATTGGCAAAGCATAATCTTCCACATTCAATTGATGCCAATAAATTCTTGCATCTAAAATCTCTTCGTTCATCAATACACCTCGAATAAAATCATGCATCGTCTAAAAATAAATATATAAACATAGTAAATTAAATCTTGTTTCATTGATACATATTATAATTAAAAAATCTCACCAACTAAAATTTTATACTTATATGAAAGAGTAACTAATATAGCTTATTTTAATTACCTGAAAATCAAAATTATCAGCAAAGAGTGGTAAAACAGATGGTGAGCACAGATAAATATGAGTATCCAAATAGCATGTGTTGATTTCTATTTCATTGTGATCAAGGAACCAGTTTAGTTCCAGCTTCACTTTTTTCTCACTGTTCTTCAGTTTTGTGTAATGCAGGATTTTATTACTGTTTTTTTCTGATACGACCAGAGATGTTTCTTCATTAAGATGAGAATTCTTTGTTGAACCAAAATTCCGCAATACCATGGTCATAGCTGTCCCTTTATCTTTCTCAGCTTTCAAACGATGAGCATTGAGTAGAATTTTAAGATCTGTATTGATGAATGCATTTCCACGTATCAATATGAAATATCCTCTGATCCAGCCTTTTGTGTCGATATCTCGTAAAGCATCTCCGAGAGATCTGCAGCCATCGGAAATGATCAGAGATATTGTAGTATCTCTGTAATTCCTATCCTTCACATATTTTTTTAGTAGGTCTACGTGACTGCTACAGTAAAGGAATACTTCTTGTATTCCGGATTTTATCAGCGTTTCCATTATGTAGTCGAAAAGCGGTATATTTATCACCGGCATCAGAATACTCGGAAATATATTTTGCGACGGAGTTAAGCTTGTTGTAAAATCATCCGCAAGGATGACAGCTTGCAGAACGTTCTTCTTACACACTTTCGAATTCATTGTTTCGGTGATTAACTCGATAATTTATATTTAATAAGCTTCACGTTTTAATATATTTTGTTATAGACAAGTGAAAATTCATATGCTGTCTACGAGAAAATTTTAGGTTAGGTGAAGAATATGAGTCGTTTACAAGTTATCACAATCTCACGCTGCATGTAATCAGTAACACGGAATGCATTCCTGCATTGTCAATTGCAGCTTTACAACAATAAATTATTATAAAGCATTTTATTTATAATCATAGAAATTTTTAAAGCAACATTCTAATCGATACAAGAAGTCTGTTCTTTTTAGCTGAACTGGCTGCACTAGTTCAGAGTTTATCTTTCTCCTTCCAATATGGAGCACTTAACTAGTGCAGCCAGTTCAGTTATAAAGAACAGACCTAAAGCCTTGTGTCCACGATGCTAGAACTCAATCCGAGATCTCGGTCCGAGTCCTCGAACAATAATATTTATACTTGGCTGAATATAGTTAGCGTTGTAATCGAGTTACGATTCTTTACGATGATTTTCTGATCTATGTTATATTGCCAAGTTGGTTTATAGATATCATCAAGTGATGCACCGCTTGATTTCGAATGTTTTATTTTTTTTAGATGGTCCAGATATTGTGATCTTAAATTATTAATTTTTTTTTTGCAATTTCAGTTGTTAGTGGTTGTCCTGTTAATTCTTTGTACTGATTACAGATTATCTGTAAAGCTTGATCTCGTTTCATACGATTATGATAATCAACACTTTTTGTAACATATAAACAAGAATGTTGTTGATATAACATTAATAAAATTTTAACATTTTCTTTATTATCCATTTTTTATTATAAAAGAAGTTTTTTCTAAAAATCAATTTTATATATTATTATACTTTTTTTGAAAAATAATATGTATATATAGGTTATAATATATTTTTAATGTCTAATTTAATCTGCGTTAAAACTAATAATAACTACTTATGTAAATCTTATTAATTATTAATCTTATTAATTAATTTTATTTAAGAATTATATTTCTCTTATTTTTTCAATTCTATAATTACTTACTAAAATATTATTTATATTGTTCACAGTATCTCATATCACTATAAGTATCTTATATTTTGTCTTGAAAGATAGTAAAAGAAACTAGTAAGATCTAATAACTCGCAATAACTCGTACCGAAAAATGGGACGCAACGCATTTTTTCGTTTGAGCTTCTTATTCGAGTTTTGCATCCAAATGCAGTGTGTACATGATCCGAGTTCTAGTAACTTTCCCTCAGTCCGAGATCTCGGACAGAGTTCTAGTATCGTGGACACAAGGCTTAAGGAATAGAGGGACTGAGTCTAAAGTCCTAGTTTAGGCGAGAGGGGGATGGTAATTCAAGCGTCGGGGGGGACTGCTTTCCGCCATATTGATGTAGCGATTCTCACACAGAGATTCTGTGTCTGTGACATGGTTACACTCGTGTAGTGGTGCCACTAAACATAACGAGTGACAAGCATAAAGAGATTAGGCGATTTTATTATTGTTGTATTATAAATTTTATAAAAT